TTAATTGGCACTCTATTTTAATTATTATTTATTCATTTTTTTGTAATAACCATGCCTTAACAAAGCATTGCAGTTTATTATGAAATCATTAGTTTGTTTTTAAAAATGACATCTTTCATCTTATTTAAAACAATAATGCTTTTCTTTTATAAAAAATTTTATGAACTTGATCATATTCTCATTAATGTTGTAGTGATATTACACAATATTTCACACAAAATATTTTAGAAAAAAAATCTCTCTGCACTCTGTGTAAGAAAAGAAAAGAAAACTTTCTTATTTTTTACTCACTCTTCCACAACATTACAGCATAATTATATAATATTTTTATTCACATTTGTAATACTATATTCTGCTTTACCAAAAACAAAATTGTTGTAGTATAAAATAACTTATATGACTATATCTACAAGTTGTAAGCCATTTGTATAATTATATCTACAAGTTGTAAGCAATTTGTATAGTTATATCTACAAGTTGTAAGCCATTTTTATAGTTAAATTATAGTCTGAAGTGCTACAAAAAAAAATTAGCAACTGTTATGCAGAATAAATAAACAATCACATTTTGCAAGCAAAAAAAGTCAATTTGAAACTCAAACTTTGACTTTCTATGTAGTTTGCACACACACACAAAAAAAAAATTGGTACATCTAAATCAACAATAACAAATACGTTAATTACAAATAATTTAGGTTGCAATAAATAGGTGATATTCCTAGAAATATTTAAAACAAAATTCTTAAACTATTTTGATTATTATGACATTGATGTAATCATTTTAATTTTTTTTTTTTTTAACTTTTTTTTATTGAGTTCTGAGACTGAAAAATTTTGTTATTGTTATTTAATGGTTTGTTTAACCCTTTGTAATAAATTTTATGATTTTTGTAATAAAGTAATTAATTTGTATCCCATATAAAAACGGTTTTTTAATGATTTTTGTAAATTTTACAAAAGATGAACTATGTAGTTCGAAACATGAAACATTTTGTAGAATGTTGTTATCACAGATCATTTAGCAATATATATATATATATATATATATTAGTGCTTCCAAAACCGATAGTACCGGTACCGGAATACTGGTATTACCAGACATTTTTAAGTACTGAAATACCGGTATTGGTTTGGCTCAATACCGGTATTAAAAATATATGTAGAGGGCTTATGATATAGCAGATGCTATGCCCTCTTTACATGAGACACGAAAATAAATTAAATACTTAAAACTTCCAACAACGCTTCCGGTAGGAAAAAGATAGCAAAATGAGAAAAGACATTGTCTAAAACAAGTATTCTACGTACTTTATATGTCTTAAACACGTCTTTTAACCATAGGTAGTGACTAGCTAGCTATTCGCTATCTAGCTGCCAGCTCATTTCCCACTGGACCCAGTGGGAAATGAGCTAGCAACTAGCCAACAAATAGCTAGCTAGTTGCTACCTATGGGTAAAAGACGCATTTAAGACGTATAAAATACGTAGAATACTTGTTTTAGACGATTTAAACACGTCTTTTGTCATCTAGCAATCTTTTTCCTACCAGAAGTGTTGTTTGATCGCGACAATTTGTATTTTGTTTGATTCCAAAAACGGACAGAACTTTCCGGTAGACCTAATATATATATATATATATATATATATATATATATATATATATATATATATATATATATATATATATATATATATATATATATATATATATATATATATATATATATATATATATTATATATATATTACTGTTGTGAAGTTTTTAGAATACCCAACTTATGGAAATTCTATACTGTAAAAAATAATATATTAATACAGCTCAATACTGTTTAATAACAATGGGTGTCTAATTATGAGTGTAATGGTGTAGGAAATCTCTAGTCTAGATATGTCAGTTAAAAATATAACATTTTGCTTTATATTAGGAAACTTAATAACTAGTACAGGGTGGGCACTCAAATTTGATGAAATGAAATTCCATGACTTTTTCATGACTTTTCATAAATTTTCATGATAAATTAGGGTGAAATATCTAGTGTTTGCCATGAGCTAAGCTGTTGGCACTTGGTCACTAAAAAATATGAAGACCAAAAACAAATTGCAAAAACATTTAAAATTATTTCTGAAAAAATTCAGTTTTTTTCAGAAATAATTGAAAAATATGTTTGACAAAAGTTGGTGATTGTAACTTTTAAAATAAAGGTACATGATCTTTTTAGAGACCAAGTACCAACAAGAGCACATGGCAAGCACTAAGTGTTTTACCCTAACTCTATTTATTAAATATTACACTTTTTAATATTTTGCAAAAAAATGCATATATAATTTCCAGAGAGATGTATGTAAAAACTTTATAAAACTAAATAATAAGCCAAATTTTATTAGATAAGTTTATGAACAAATATATAACAGTACATGATATAGAGTATAATGGCTAACACGACTTTACTCTAAACATTTTAGGTTTCTGAATAACAATTAATTAAAAAATTATAATTTTTTTGTGCAAAAATTAATGGTATGAATCTTTTGTTTGAATGCCTTTAATGCTCATCATATTAGAAAATGAAGACAAAAGATTTCTACCTTGGGTAGATATCTTTTGTTTTTCTGCT